CACCTGAGAAAACCACTGCTGACTAACAAAACTGTGTGGGAAAAGCTGGCTGCCTTTTTTTTCATTATCACACCTAAAATAATCATTAACCAATACACTACCATTACATAGATACTCAAATGTTTTCAATGTTTGTGTGGATTTAAAAAATGTCATAAAGAAAAGCAGTGTATTTGTTTGTGTTGTGTCTCTTTGTGGTCATTTTGCCCCTTTTTATAGTCGCTGTAATGGCGCATTTCCACCGCAGGCCTCGCTCGACTTAGTACGGTTTTGTTAGGCCTTGTTAGGACTGGCTCACTTTATGCTGCGCTTCCATTACAGTTTAGTAGCTGGGGCAGTAACTATAGTAACGCAGTGTAGGCGGAGCCGTGACGTCATCTTCAATGAGAACCACAGAAAAACAACATCAGCCGTTAGCTGTTAGCACTCAGAGCTCACAGCTCCTCATATCTGTTCAGAAACTAGACAAAAGTTAAACAAGTACAAACCACAGACTGTCTGTGTCATGGCAAATACAGTCGCTGCTTTATTTATGTATGTATAGGCCGTTGTTGTGAGTGTGGACGGTCGGAGCATATATTGCGTTAGCTTAGCCGATCTCCATTCAGAAAACACACATTTTAAAAGGTTTTTCGCCTGCCGTCTGTCTGCAGACTTGTCAAAGCATTAATTCATGGTTTTTACTAACCGGTATCAGTATGTTGTTACTTCGGCATCATTTTGAAACGTGTATTACAATTAAATCACGGTCAAATATGTTCATCTTGTTGTAGTTGTAGCCCCCTTGCCAGCGATTCTCTCTCTAGTTTAGCATACTCAGCCCGACTCAGCCCTTTTTGTTGGCCACGATAGAACCACGATTTTGTCGGGCCAGAAAAAAGGTGAAAAAGTAGCCCCGGGCCGGAACTAGGCCTAGTGGAAACGCAACCAAAAACGGGCTCAGCACGACACGGCACGCTTAAACCGTGCCATGGTGGAAATGCGCCAAAAGTGTGTGATTTTTGGTCACTTTTGGCGCATTTCCACTACACGGCCTCGCTCGGCCTCGCTCGGTATGGCTAGGCCTCGTTATGCCTTGTTAGGACTGGCTCACTTTATGCTGCGCTTCCATTACAGTTTAGGAACTGGGGTAGTATCTATAGTAACGCAGTGTAGGCGGAGCCGTGACGTCATCTTCAATGAGAACCACAGAAAAACAACATCAGCCGTTAGCTGTTAGCACTCAGAGCTCACAGCTCCTCATATCTGTTCAGAAACTAGACAAAAGTTAAACAAGTACAAACCACAGACTGTCTGTGTCATGGCGAATATAGTCGCTGGTTTATTTATGTCTGTATAGGCCGTTGTTGTGAGTGTGGACGGTCGGAGCATATATTGCGTTAGCTTAGCCGATCTCCATTCAGAAAACACACATTTTAAAAGGTTTTTCGCCTGCCGTCTGTCTGCAGACTTGTCAAAGCATTAATTCATGGTTTTTACTAACCGGTATCAGTATGTTGTTACTTCGGCATCATTTTGAAACGTGTATTACAATTAAATCACGGTCAAATATGTTCATCTTGTTGTAGTTGTTGCCCCCTTGCCAGCGATTCTCTCTCTAGTTTAGCATACTCAGCCCGACTCAGCCCTTTTTGTTGGCCACGATAGAACCACGATTTTGTCGGGCCAGAAAAAAGGTGAAAAAGTAGCCCCGGGCCGGAACTAGGCCTAGTGGAAACGCAACCAAAAACGGGCTCGGCACGACACGGCACGCTTAAACTGCGCCATGGTGGAAATGCGCCAAAAGAGTCTGCACACGTGCCACAGGGTAAAAGTACAGAACTTGAATACATTTTTCTTAGATTTGGCAGGAGCCCAAATCCACTCACCATTCACCTTCAGGACAAAGCCAGCGTCCTTGCTGCTTCCTGCTGTTTCTGTGACAGTGACCACGTAGTACCCCGCGTCCTGCAGCCGCAGGTCCGACAGCCCCATGGAGCCGTTTTTGAAGGCCTGCACTCTGCCGCTGTAGTCCTCCGTGATGTTGGTGTACCCCCCCGGCTGCCAGGTCCCTATGGTGCGGCTCACCGCTCCTGACATAAAGGTCCATTGTATGGTGGGGGTCCCGATGCAGGAAACATCCAGTGAGAAAAACACATCCTCCTGCACTGAGCGGGTCAGGCTCCTCTGGGGAGAGTGAATGGAGATGGCTCCAGCTTCCAAAGAAAAATAGGGTGACGGAAAGTAAAGATATACATATTAAATGTAAAATGCGTTGTGTGGATGAAAAGTAAATAGACATATTAATTGGAATAAACACAAAGGTTCATAGGAGTGCGACAGACAGATACAATTAAAAAAAGTCAAAGTACAAAGGTATTGGTATCAAAATATACTTAAAAATCCAAAACAATTACTTATTTTGCACAATGGATTATTTCAGAACAGTTTATATTACATTGAATTATATATGATTATAATTATTGATACATTCCTGTGTTTATTGCTTTTTATGTTGCAGCTAATTTGAATGACTTTATATACTGCCGGGCCGCTTAACACATCATCATTTATTCCTTTATTCCTATACTCTGGTATTTTTGTTAATCAGCGAAGTCACTGATATTTTCAAATAAACAAATGTAGTGAAATAAAAAGTGGAATATTTCTTCTTGAGATGTAGTAAAGTAGCATGGAAAGAAAATACTCAAGAAAGTACCTCAAAATGCTGCTTGAGTAAAGAACTTAAGGAAGTGTAAATACATTCCACCACTGGCTAGGACAGTAATTACTGAGAAACATTTCAGTGTATGACACAATGCAATATGCTCATAAAAATTAAATGTTTAGCCTCATAGCTTCTCATGACACATCTAGTCAGTGTTGCAGGCCAACCCTGTGACTCACTCTCCATTTACACACACAAACGTGCTCTTCTTTCTGAAGGAAACTTGTCAAACAAGCTGAGAAATACTGATTTGAATGTAGCTAGCAGTGTTGGCCGCCCCTGATCAAATATTTCCTCAGTTTCAGCGGGGATCTGGTTCTGCTGATGTGTTTGCTCAATGAGGCACAGGTAAAGAATTCCACCTGAGAAAAACCAATGCTGACTAACAAAACGGTGTGGGAAAAGCTGGCTGCCCTTTTTTCATTATCACACCTAAAATAATCATTAACCAATACACTTCCATTATGAAGATACTTAAATGTTTTCCATGTTTGTATGGATTTAAAAAATGTGATTTAGAAAAGACGTGTATTTGTTTGTTTATGTTTTTTAGCAGAGATACTTCAGTCTGTGCAGCTTGACTTGTATTTGTAATGACATCATACTGCTCTCCTCTCATTTGTCTTACTGTCTTTGGGCTCCAGAGTTTCCTCTCGTGCTCTGGGAACTTGGATGTGGACCAGGGCAGTCTGATGCTTAAAGGACACGTCCACAGAGACACATGACTGTGTTATTTCTATCTACTCTGCCCTGCTATGCAAACTAAGACAAAGAGATAGAGAAAATGAACAGCCTCCTGCAGGCTCTTATTTCAGTTCCTTTGTGAGGGCTGGACCTTATCCTATGTTTTAACCCTGAGCAAATATAGGATTGCCATATAGGCAGGATCACAAACCAGAGGGGTAGAGTAACTGAATATATCCGCTCAAGTATCGTATTTCATTTGAAAGTAAATGTACTTTGAGTATTTTTATTGACATGTCCCTTTGTACTTCCACGCCACTACATTTCAAAAGGAAATGTTTTACTTGTTTCCTTCCCTACATTAATACAAAGTTTTTATTTACTTTATAAATTAAGATTTTTACAAAAACCAAATAAAGTGTTTGACTATACAAGCAACTTTGTTGATAATCGCTTACAAGTTATATTTCTTTTAACAATGTTGTACTGTATCATTCATAATGTCGAGGTTCAGACTGTTGGTTGGACTAACATTGGGTAGATGTCACTTCTGGATCATGTTAACTGTGAAGGTATTTCACTACTTTTACTGTTTTTACAAAACAATCATTAGGTGAATAATGGAGCAAATAATATTTGGATTAATCCCAAATGAAAAGAATCAGTAGTTAATAGTTCCAAATGAACTCCATTATGACCTTTAAGTACATTTTCATAATATACTAAAATACTTTTACTCGGTTTGCTTTTGCAATGCAGGACTCTTACTTGTTGTGGAGTGTTTCCACAGTGTGTTGTTGGTACTTTTACTGAAGTAAAGGACATGAGTACTTCTCCCACGACTTAAATCATGAACATGTGTTGGAAGGCTTACCTAGGTGACACATATATAATGTGATGCTGAGAAACACAGCAACATCTTGTACATCCCAGAGCCTGAAATGCCACATTAGAATCCCAGACCCATCGGTCGAACCGCAGGCGAAGAATCTCCTCCGGCTTATTTCACATTCTGAAGTATTCTCCTCTCTGTGTTTCTCCTTCCAAGACAGCCTCTCCTCGATCCCAGGGTGTCTTATTCCAAAGCTCTTTGTACAGGTGAATCTTTGAATGACTTCCGCCTTGATTTTGAGAGAAGTGAATTGTTTTTGGTCCCAGAAGTGCTGGAGTTTCCCTCCTGGCTCAGGACTGAGCTGGGTTTCTCTTCATACCTGCGCAAGTTAGTGCCAGCAGGCCCACACCTATCAGACAGGTTCAGCCAGAGATTACTGAGCAAACACGCTCTGTGAACTCACACACACCCACACACACACACACACACACACACACACACACACACACACACACACACACACACACACACACACACACACACACACACTCAAAAACATAATATATCCTTCTCAATTTACTTAGGCTATATCACCACCAGCACCCCGCCCAACAAACACTCACCTGTATATGCAGAGTGCAGACACACTTTCACAAAATGAAACCAGGATATAGGTTGAATCACAAGGAATTCATGTTGTTAGCGACACTCCTGGTAAAACATGTTAAACAGGAAGTGTATGTGCGTATGCACCAAGGGACACAAACAAACACACTGCAGGGAAGTGCCATCATCAGTGTTGGAGGCATGAACAAGCTGCTTGATTCTGGGCCTGTGTGTGTTGACATTTCCATTGTATTTAAGGTGAGACACTCCAGGCATGAGCACCCATACTTTACTTACTTAACAAATCTTCTTTCAGACTGGTAAAAAAAGAAACATTCAAAATACACAAGTAGCTTTTTATTATACTAAACTTTGTCTGTAGATTTGTCCTTCATCTGCCAACCATAATGCCTTGTTTAAATATTTAAAAATATTTTCAGAAAACTTTTGAAACAAAATATAATGTTCCTAATGTAATTAATCTAAGTGCTGTGGATCTGTTAAATATTTGACCAAATTCTATTTTCTTAAAATGATTTCTTTGTTGTGATCCAGAAGTCCCCACTTCTGTAGAACTTCTATTTACAACAAGCTTTCCAGTTTCATTCCTATCTTTATTTTGAAGGTTTATACAGGGGTTTGTTCGTTCAGTATCATGGAGTGATACAAAGGGAAACCTTTGACTCTGATATTTCATACAATGAAACAAGAAATGTTAACCTGCTCTGTCCATCCAATGTTACACTCCAGGATGTGTATGCAAATTAGCACATCAAATAATCTGTGAATTCAAACATAAAAGATCACAAAAGCTGTTATACAAAAATAATTGTGTTGATGTAAGTAATCAATTGGTGAGGATTCATGTTGAAATCTATTAACTCACTTGTTGATACCCTCTCTAAATTATTCAGATCTTATTTACAGACATTTAGAAATCAGAGAAATTAGTTGTACATACTTATCTAAACAAAATTATAATAATGTTTTGTAATCATTTCCACTGTCAAAAGTATCATTGTGTTTTCCATTTAGCTGACCAGAGTAATACAACTAAATTGTACATTTAGCTCTATAACAACATTATGAAGATCCAAGGGTTGATAGTTATAAAATAAAACAGTGTAAGAATTTAAGCCTTCTCTCTGATGGAGGTATGATGTTTGTTGACTTGGATTTCAATTGAGGAACAATCCCACAGTTTGAAATGCTTTACTTAATACAACCTCTATTAAACATTTGATTTTGAGTTGTATTTAGTAGTATTAAAGGTGGGGTAGGTAATTTTGGAGAAACCAGCTCGAATTTGAAAATACACAGCCGGAAAAAATCTGCCACTTCCTTACAGAGCCCCTCCTCCAACACACACGAACGCGCACATGACCAATGAGGGCACGAGATAAGTTTGTGCACAGATGGAAGGCTGACAGGCAGGTAGGACATCCAGTGATGATCCGTGAGCGTCCCCTAGTGGTACGTGAGTATATTGGTAACATTTCACATTTGAAATAAATACATTTATTAACATTTTCCGCACTCTCGCGGCGGGAATATCTCCGTAATGGAGCGAGCTTAACTTTCGATTGCATGATATAGCCCACCGCAAGACCTTCGTCACACATGTTGCCACCTGTTTGTACCATTTCCAGGCGATTTGTAATCTGTTCTAGAAAAACTATGTGTTTTATTTCAAGAAGCATATAGAACAAACAATGGATATATTTTATGAACATTTATCCATGCTGAAAGTAGATTTAGATGTTTTAGGAGTGAGATTGTTGGGGCTGCATAAACGTTTTTTATTTGTTTTTGTAGGCAGACCATGCAGGCCAGCCCGATGGTCACCAAGGTTCATGTTTTAATAGCATTTTAACAAAAAAAGCCCAGGCGAGCCTAACATGTGAAAAAAGGGCTTAGACCTCAGAGAGTTAAACTTGGGCCTGCGACCATAGTTTTACTGTATTTTGTTTGGAAAATCCACAACGGAGGTTTGTGTCGTACTACATGCGGTGTATTTTGCATATCTCTCAGTAGCCAACGATCTGTGAGTCTGTTGGACATAAACTCCGTAATAAATGTAGTCTACATTTCATAAGAGGTGTCAAACCTGAGCATTTTAAATCGCATTTGAACGAAAGGCTTATATAATCTGTAGTTGTATTTGTATTGTGATTTAATGTGTGAACGAGGTGATATAGAGAGGTCACGTTAAGCTGTTGTTATTATTAGGCTGTACTTTGTTATACTGTTGTGTTGGTAAGCAGGCCTATTGTTTTTGGATATTTGGGGAGTCCGCGAGTGTTTTTGTATTGGTTAAGTGGCATGAAAAAGTTTGAGAAACAGCGTACCACGTGTCCAGGAAGACAAAAAGGCAGGGAGCATTTGCAAACACAATTAAAAAAAAAAAAAAAAAATCGCTACAAAACAGCGGCAATGGAACATCTTCATATCGACTCAAATCAAGATTATCTTGTCTTAAATGTGCCCGGACAAAAGTTATGGTGGTCCCAGACCGTGAGTGAAGGTGACTGTGCGGGGAATCTGTGTCCCGCCTCCAATGGATGTGAAGTATCGCTTCTCTGCCTTTTTGGCTAAAATCAAGTGTAGTATCTGTTCTTACCTCTCCAACGCACAGCAGCCCAAGAGGCATGTATCAGAATTATCCTTTGATTCTCCCAAAGTTTCAGAGAAGAGAGGAAGAACTGACTACTCCCCAGACAGTTCATCTCTGGAGGACTCAAGAGTATTCCTCCCCACCTCCCCAAATGAGGTATCCTTTTTAACCATGGTTCTGCAATCGACCCCAAATAACTCAAATTTCAACGCAAGATTGCGTGAGAGGCCTACCCCAAGAGTCCGAAAGGTAAAAGAAGGGCAACCCCGTCACCCTTCACCCATAAGAGTGAAGGAAGAGCTAGATTCACATGAAATTGGTTAACAACCTTTGTTTTCAACAGCATAACCCCTTTTTAGTTTCTTAAAATGTTCTACCTGTTTATCTTAAACATACTCATGACACTCACAGTCTCAATCATAAATGTGAGAAGTGTGAAGTCGAGAGTTATGCTGCGTTCACACCGGACGCGATGCGATGTTTGGGGGCGGCGCGATTACATGTAAAGTAGAGATGGCAAATCCGGATCCTTTTACGGACTCAGGGTCTTCTGAGTCAGTCATTGAAGAGATCCGGATCATACGAGTCATTTGAGTCATATGAGTCAGCATCACCAAGACCGTAGAAATCCTATCGGTGAAACCGAAAAGTTGATGCATTTCACGAGCATATTATTATTCCATATATTTTGAATATATATATATATATTTGTATATATATATATATATAATATCTGCATGTATATTTTCTATTTCGACATGTATATTTTATATTTTATTTTATTTTTCTTTCTATTCTTGTATATTTTGTAGTTTTGTTTTATTGTAAAATGCCTTTTATGCTGCTGTAACAACAACAATTTCCCAATTTGGGATCAATAAAGTACGATCTATCTATCTATCTATTAAACTGACGTTATATTAACCTCCGCTACACAGTGTATTTTGCTTTAATAAAAAATGTTGATCACAAAAAAAAGGGTTATTTTGCGATTTGGCAAATCTGAGTCTGCTGTTGACTCGTGCATGAGGACGAGTCTGCTGGATCTCTGGATCTGCTGCTATATACGGCTCCGAGTCCGCACGAGTCTGCTCTGCTGTGTGTTGCACAGTGAGTCAGGATTTGAGAATCTGAGTCTGCTGTTGACTCGTGCATGACGACGAGTCTGCTGGATCTCTGGATCTGCTGCTATATGGCTACGGCTCTGAGTCCGCACGAGTCTGCTCTGCTGTGTGTTGCACAGTGAGTCAGGATTTGAGAATCTGAGTCTGCTGTGGACTTGTGCATGACGACGAGTCTGCTGGATCTCTGGATCTGCTGCTATATGGTTACGGCTCTGATTCCGCACGAGTCTGCTGTGTGTTGCAGCGAGTCAGGATTTGCGAATCTGCGAATCTGCGAGTCTGCTGTTGACTCGTGCATAATATAGCGCGGGAGCCGGGTGCTGGAGGAGGGGCTATGCTCGTGCACATGACGAGTATGGATCGCTGGATCTGCTATGCTATTACGGTTAGGAGCCGTCGGCTCCTCTGAGTCCCCACGAGTCTGCAGGAAGTTTCACTGATCCGCGTCCCCTCCCCTGAGCCAAACGATCACTTCTGGCAGCTATCCTACTTGCTAAAGGGTAGATGGACTGGGGTACGTTGTAATGTGATTTTACATGTTATAAAGAGAGTAGCGAGTGACGCAATTTATAGTTTTAATTTGTACGTCACACCAAGTGTGGGACTCAAAGGACTCGGGTTAATGGAGAGGGGAGACTCGTCACGACCAGCTCATTTCTAGGATCCGGGTTAATGATCCGGATGAATCAGGACTCGCCCATCTCCAATGTAAAGTCAATGCAGAGACGCGGACAGACGCGAATTCGCTCCAACGGCGCGCATGAAGCGGTGGACGCGGCGCGAATCACGTGATTGAGGCGATTGAACGGTGCCGCGTTAAACGCGAGAGTTACATTTTTTCAACTCGAGCGTCAAATTCACATGGCGCGTTCTCGCGGAAGCCAATCAGCGGTGAGGATCTCAGCCTGCCGTCACTGACGTTCAACCACACAACATCAGCCGTTAGCTGTTAGCAGTTAGCACACAGAGCTCACAGCTCCTCATATCTGTTCAGAAACTGGACAAAAGTTAAACAAGTACAAACCACAGACTGTCTGTGTCATGGCGAATACAGTCGCTGGTTTATTTATGTCTGTAGGCCGTTGTTATGAGTGTGGAATGAGCATATACAACGTTAGCTTAGCCTGGTCGACCCGATCTTCATTCAGAAAACAAGCATTTTAAAAGGTTTTTCGCCTACCGTCTTGTCTGCAGACTTGTCAAGCATTAATTCATGTTTTTTACTAACCGGTATCAGTATGTTGTTACTTCGGCATAATTTAGAAACGTGTATTACAATTTAATCACGGTAAAATATGTTCATTTTGTTGTAGTTGTAGCTCCCGAGCCAGCGCATCTTGTTTGAATGATGCGAGTAAACACAGCTGGCAGCCGTGGTGAAACTCGAGCATTTAGAGCGATGCGATAGGAGCGATTAGAGCGAAGCGAATATTCGCATCGCGTCCGGTGTGAACGCAGCATTATGCTGCGTTCACACCGGACGCGATGCGATGTTTGGGGGCGGCGCGATTACATGCAAAGTCAATGCAGAGACGCGGACAGACGCAAATTCGCTCCGACGGCGAGCATGAAGCGGTGGACGCTGCGCGAATCACGCTATTGAGGCGATTGAACGGTGCCGCGTTAAACGCGAGAGTTCAATTTTTTCAACTCGAGCGTCAAATTCACGTGACGCGTTCTCGCGGAAGCCAATCAGCGGTGAGGATCTCAGCCTGCCGTCACTGACGTTCAACCACACAACATCAGCCGTTAGCTGCAGGCGCGCCGGATTCATTTTAGAAGTGGGGGGTAGTGATGTGTCGGTCGCGAACGAGCCGGCTCAAAGAGCCGGCTCTTTTAAGTGAATGACGGGAGCCGGCTCGCGCCCGCGAACGAGCCGTTTTTTTGTTTTTGTTATTTTTTGTTAAGTAATACAAGACAGAATGATATGATGATCTCCGCGCTACAGCTGCTCCGTGCATGCATGCAGTGGCATGTCATATCCAAGGATTAGAGACTGTTGGATGCTGCTGTTTTGAGCATTGCAATACATTTATTTGTATTATGTTTTTTTATGATTAGAGACGGTTGGATGCTGCTGTACTGAGCGTTGCAATATATTTATTTTCACTATGTTATTTATTTATGATTATCCTTGGGCTCAGCAAAGATTTGATGTCAGCTGTTGCTGTCTTTTTTCTATAGTTAATACTGAAATAGAACCCTGCTGTTTTGTCAGGGCCTTTTCTTTAAATATAATTTTAAAATGTCGATACAGTAGCCCCTTTTTTTAAATGTGTATGCTTAAGTTTTTATAGGTGTTGCTATCTGCTTTGTGTAGCGTGGTTCTACAAGCAAGTCTGTGCATTCATTGAGTGGTATCAGAGAGATACAAGGGTCTGTAAATGCAATGAAAACAATTGGCCACATGCAGCAAATAATTGATATTAAACATGTAATTTTTACTTTTGAATACTTCAGTACAAAGGATGTATTGAATAATTTAAGTGATATGTGTACACATATAAATCATTAGTCAAAACAGGGCTACATTTGATTGAATTATAAAAGGTATAATATGTGGTAAACTGAAGAGCCGTTTGGGAGCCGAAAGAGCCGGCTCTTCTTGGTGAGCCGAGCCAAATGATCCGGCTCACCAAGAAGAGCCGGAATTCCCATCACTAGTGGGGGGGCCAAAAAAGTGCGTGTGTATGGCCCAATCCCAAACCACGCCCTACACCCTACCCCTACACACT